AAAATAGCCAGTCACCTAATCTGAGAGCGTATAGAGCTGATTAAGTATCTAGCCAGGGAAGATAAGGTTGAACAGCTCTGGAAAATTAGGTTAACCAGAATTTTTAGAATGGGAGAAAGCAGCTCCTCTATTGATGTGTATATAATACACAAGGATGTAAGGCTTTAGTCAGTGGTTACCCAAGGAGTTAGAACATATTGTGAACAGTGAGGACTTGAACCAATCTGCAAGGCTTCTTGATTTCTACCATCAAGTGTGTTATGTTCGTTCTTAATTGACTACGATACTGAAACCTAGAAACAAAAATATTGAAACAGTCATTGTACCAGTTTTTCTCTAAGAACATGAGTCTGCGTCTTCTCAGCTCAATGTACATAAATCACCAAACATATGTACATATGTATATATGTGTGTATATATGTATATGTACATATATGTATATACACACACACATACACACACATATGTATATGCACATTAATACATTTTATTTGCATTTAATGTATAACAGCTGAACTCCTTTAATTTGTCAAATAAATCATTTTGGAGAGAACAGAGTTTTTAAAATAAGAAATCCAAAGATACGTTAAGTGTAAAAGACATCCGCTTTATTATTTTGATTTTGGGACCTAAATTCACAAAAGACAAAATCAGATGATAATAATATGTGAACTTTAGTCGTGGTATCCAAAGGTAAAAAGTAGTTCCTAAGCCATATTTGAAAATACTAATTGCAGTAAGAACAATAATTATTAGGACCTTTAATCTTTTTAAATAGATTTTATTAAAAATGATTTAAAATATGTCTAAGGCCCAAGGATGTATCTTTAAGAGCATTCTGTCCCAAGCTGGAAATACTAAGATTATTAAAAATATCAAATACTTAAGCAAGTTAGGGGGCTGAATTCACATCTCTGTAGCATTCGGCCAGGGCAGCTCATTGTCGTGCACAATCGCTGAGATTCGTGCTGTGGTCTAGCATCCTCCCAGACCTTTTCCCTCGGTAGCCATCATACTGCAGCACAACAGTGACGGTTGCTTATGATCTGCTTACAGATTATTGCATAATAAAGATAATTACATCTTCAGTTTAACACCTTACACTTCATGTAATTCACGATTTTTACTACGTAACCAGCAGTGATTGGTTCAGCTGTTTCTTTCTTTCTTTTTTGCTTCTCCCGTAAAGCATGACTTTTTCCATGAAGGAAGTACTGTTCTGATTTACATTCTGGCTCAAGCTCCTTGATGTGGCTGACTACTCTGTAATGTTTTTCTGTCATTGCAGCTGACAATGTAATTCTCCAGAACAGGCTCTTACACCCCAAACAACTTCTATTGACACTGTAATCAATACCTCATGATTTTACGTAGTGCAGTTAGGCCAGAGCTTCTGGCTTCTAAAACTGCTGTTGAGAAGTCCACAGGTATCCTGATTCCTGATTCTTTTTTTGAAATTTATTTTTATTGAGATATAATTCACATATAGCATTGTGTAAGTTTAAGTTGTACCACTTGTTGACTTGATAAATTTGTATATTGTAATATGACTTCCACTGTAGTGTAGCTAACACTTTTTTTCCCCCTGGTGGGAACAGTTAAGATACAGTCTCTTAGCAACTTTGAAGTTTATAATATAGTATTGTTATCTATAATCACTATCCTGCTCATTAAACATCTCCCTGTGCCCCTCGCCCCAGGTAGTCACCATTCTACTTTCTGTTTTTAGGAGTTCAGGGATTCCACATATAAGTGATATCATACGGTATTTTCTTTATGGGATTTATCTCACTTAGCTTAATGTCCTCAGGTTCATCCATGTTGTCACAAATGGCAGGATTTTCTCCTTTCTCGTGGCCAATATTGATCCTTTCTAAATGGCCCATTACCTGTCTCCGCCGGAAGCTTGTAAAATCCGCTCATCCCCACTTTTCTGAAAGATGCAGGTATTGTGTCTTGATGTGGGTCTGTTTTCATCTATTTGTGGTGGGGACCCATTGCACCGTTTCAGTTTTAGAAATCCTGTCATTCAGTTTGGGAAGTTGCCTTGAATTACTTCTTTTCTCTGTTCTTTCTTTCTTAACTGCTAATTACTTGTATATTGGATTTCATGGACTGGTTGTCTAATTTTTCTGTTTTTCTTTCACATTTCTTATTTTATTCTATTTTCTAGGAATGTCTCTTCAGCTTTATCTTCCACTCAGCCAGTTCTACTTCCAGAGTTATCTCGTACTGTCAGTTCTCTGATCTTGGAGGATCTTGCTGTATGCATCTAATTGGTCCTCAGTTTCCTTCACTGTCAGTGTCTGATCTAGTTTTTCTTGGGTCTTGTTAACCAGTTAGTGTTTGTCCACTTACTTTCTAGTTTCCAAAGCTTTATGCTGCCTCCTCTCCATTTCTCATCCATGTGAGTTAATATTTTTAAAAACCTTCTTTGCCATTGTTTTAGTAGGGTTTTAGGAAGGAAGTGAAATTTCATATGTGTGTGCATTACTCTTTTGTCCCAAAACACTGCTCATTTTTTTTACCCGCTCCTTTACGGCCATTTTCTATTACTGGCTTACTCTTTCGTCATGGTTCCATTACTCTTCCTTTCGGCTTCCTCATGTAACACACTTTCCCTCAGCTTTCTTTATTATTTTTAATGTAATATTTTCTTGTCATACTTACGTTTTTTTACTCTCCCTGAAGTGAAGCACATATACTCTGTGTACCCCTGTTTGGACACAGATGCCACAGCTGACCCCCTCCCACCTTCCCTCTGCCTGTTTCTAAAATCTCATCCATCCTCGGCACTGTGAGCATGTTTCATGACGTTAAACTGCTCCCGCTACTCTCTGCTATTCTCTGAGCATGTCACACCTTCCCCATGCTTCCGTATTTTTGTACGTACCGTTCCCACTTTCTGGAACGTCTGCTCTTGCTACTGATTTCTCTCCACAGCCCCTCCCTCCTTTCCTCACAAACTTCTGAAATCTTGAAAATCTCTGCTTAGGTAGCCTCTTTCTGAAGCTTTCTTTCATCTTGCTTCAACCCTTCAAGTTGTAGTTGGTCCCTTCTATTTATAGCACTTAAAACACTATATTGCAATTATTTATTTATGCAGTCTGACTACTTTAACCGGATCATGACTGAAACTAGGGAACAAATCCTTTTCCTCTCCAATGTGCCTTTTTACTAAAAAGTGACTGTGTGGATGGATATATAAATAAATGTGCTCTGTAGACCACAAAGTGCTGTTATATTATGATGGTAATTCAATGATTTTCAAGAGGAGGTTGCCTTTTTGATTATCAAACATCTAAAGTTTTTCTATTCTCCCATTTCACCTTTCTTTCTCATCACTTACCTTTATAAAATATAACACATATAATTACTTGGGATGGGGGAGAGAACTGTTTGCAGATTAGAATTTTTCAGCTCATTGAGAAGACGTTTGCATATGGCAGCTTGGCCATTTACATACAAGAGAAATTCAGGGTTGTTGTTAAGGAGGTGAATGGGTAAGTCTTGGGTTTAATTTATTTTCTTTCCCACCACTCTCTTTCTCCTTAGAGTGCCCAGATCTAGGATGCTATCCTCAAATAGTACCTATAACAATCCCTTGTACTCACTCCTGGGTTAACCATCTGGTTAAACCAGTACCGTGTATGTGAAAGTGTCTGGCAGACGTGTTCTAGTCCTGACGTCATTTTATTTTTGCATCCCCCTCTTCAACTTCATGTTTTTAATTCTTTCACACATCATTCAGACATAGTGAACATTGAGTGTAGGTACACTTAATGTATTTTTAAAATAATGAGTGCCCATGGGGCTTTACTAGAAAGTATGTTATAAAGCCTATTGTCATAAGACAAATCTTTTTTTCAGAAAAATAATGTTGGAATTGGGATTTTTTTTCCCCCACAGCTAAGGATTTGGTGTAAATATATTGCAATCATGAAGATAAAGCTATGTATGTTTTAATAATTTGAGATAATAAAGTAGTAAATGAACTTAAATGAATAGATTTTATTCAACCAACCCTCCTTTTATCCTTTCAAATCTTGAACTCTACCACCTTTGCCCGTACTTTTATTTTTTAGGTTTATTTATTTTGAGAGGGAGTGGGGGAGGGGGAGAGAGAGAGGGAGAGAGAATCCTAGGTAGTCTCCGTGCCGGGAGCATGGAGCCAGATGCGGGGCTTGAACTCAGGAACCGTGAGATCATGATCTAAGCCGAAGTCCAGAGTCGGGACGCTTAACTGACTGAGCCGCCTAGGTGCCCTCCTCTTACTTTTAGTATATGACCTAATTTCCAACATCAGGAAGATTCAAAGCCATCAGGTGAGAACTCTCCCTGAAAGTATTTCTCCTTCTAGCCTTGTTTAATTTCTCCTCAGCATTTCCGTCTTTGCTCTCTTAATTTTTACCTGCCTCTCCCTCTTCCATCAGCAGCTCCTTCGCTCTGGATTCTTCCTGGCAGTGCTTAACCTATTCAGTTCTCTTCCATCTTAAAATAATAGTAACTCTGTAACCTTGCGCATCATTCCAGCTGCTGGTGTACTTTCTCCCTCTCAGATGTCTCCGTTTATTATCTTAGTTTGCTTGTGCCCCGTTCATCGCCAGCTGCTGCAATGCGGACTCTGCCGTTACATCACTTCAACTGTTTTCGCCCGGTCTGCTCTCTGGTGACTTCATCATTGCTAAATTCACTGAACGCTTCTTCACCTCACTAGTCTCCTCCGCAGCTCTCGATACTATTTACTATTCTACCCTTTTTGAAACTCTTTTTTTTTTTTTTTTGACCTCTCTGGCATCACTTTACTCCCATGGCTTTGATTACCGTGTGTGTCCTAATTATAGTAAACGCGTGTCTTCAGCTTTCTCTCAAGCTTTAGACTTGTTTATTCAGCTTGCCATCCTCACTCTGGTATCTCGGATGTGCCGCAGACTCAACCTACACAAAACAGAGCTGTCTTCTTCTTCCCTCGGTCCTCTTCCTCCCCTTTCTTATTTCAGTCGGTAATGTTGCTGGTAACCTGCTGCCTCGGCAGAAATCATTATCTTTGACTCCTCCTCCTTCCTTCTGACCAGTATCCTGTCACCAAGTGCTACTGGTCCTGCCTCGCGCACTCCGGTCCGTGTCCTCTGTATAGAAACCACCGTTGTGCAGCCACCGCCACCGTCTCTCAGCTGAATTACTTTAACGCTGTTTACTTTTCAGTGGCTTCTCTGCCTCCTGTTCTCATTTGCTCTCCCAAAGCATTCAAAAGGCAGCCAAAGATATGTTTTCCCAGTAAAATATAATTGATATTCTCTTATTAAAGAGATCTTTAATGGAGGGCTTCCTGTTATTCTTGGAGTAAAAAGACTTTTATGTTCTGGTTCCTGATTAATGTCCTTAGCCTCATCCCCCGTTGTTTATGATGTCTGTTCTCCTCAAATGCTTTTGTCTCGCCTCATGCGTCTTCACATTGTGTTTCCGTCTTAACTCAAGCCACATACACAAATGCACGTACCCTCACATCAGCAGTTCTCAAACTCCGATCTGGGAACCGCTAGTTACCCCCAGAATCCTTTCAGAGAATCTGCAAGGTCAACATGATTTTCATAGTAGTGCTGTGATGTCACAGTTGACCCTTGAGTACTACGTGGGGGCTGGGGGCGTCGACAGCCTGCCGCGGTCACCACGGTCTAAAATCCACATATAACTTTTAGTTCCCTAAGAACTTGACTACTTAAGCCATACAGATCACATAAACAGCAAATTAAACACATGTTTGTTATGTTACATGTTATTTACTGTGTTCTTAACGATAAAGAAAGCTTGAAAAAGGAAAATGTTACTAAAACTAGAAGAGAAAATATATTTACAGTATTGTATTGTATTTGTTGAAAAAAATCTGCATATAAGTGGACCCGTGCACCTCAAACCCATACTGTTCAAGGGCCAATGGTATTTCCTTTCTCACTGTCCCGTGCGTATACAGTGGATTTTTTTCCCAAAGGTGTCATAACGTGACATCATCGCTCTGCTGGCTAACGGATAGGTGCTTTGTATTCTGTTTTTAAAAGTTCCCATTTTTAAAATCGAATAGGGTAAGTACTGATAGATATGATGAACAAAACCTTGCAGGTCCTCAGTAATATCCAAGAGAGTAAAGGGGTCCTGAGTCAAAACAGTGTGAAAATTGCTACTTAGGCCCCAGTTGAATGGTGTTTCTTCTGAGAAGTCCTTGCTTAGGTCCTCCACCAGAGTAACCGTTGAGTAACCTCTGCGGTTTGCGCTTGCCCTATCATAGCACTTCTATCGAACTGCGGTATGTTAGTTACTTATCTGTCTAGGCCAGCAGACACAGAAAGCTCCAGAGAAGAAGGAACTCTGCTGTAACCCCCATACCGAGCACAGTTCTGAATACATAGTAAGTGCTTAGTAAACACATGTTGAGTGAATCTCTTCAATGGTATTTGGGAGATATGAGGACTATAACATGTTTGAAATTATAACCATCTTGTACTTTACTGATGCATTCATTTCTTAATTTTTTTTTGACCCACCGATATCTGAATGGGTTTTAGGAAGCAAGGTTGTGTGTGTGTGTGTGTGTGTGTGTGTGTGTGTGTGTGTGTTGAGGATACAGTACACACGCACACATGCGTGTATAAAAGGAAATCTATACATAATATCATTGCTGAAAGTCTGGAGCTCCATTTCTGAATCTTTGTCTTCCCCAAACCATGGAGGCTTGGACAAGTCTTTTTATTACTTTGAATGTAACTTTCCTCATCAAATAATGGGATTGAACTAGATTATCTAAAAATTTCTTCCTATATGATACTATTTAACACATGTGAAAAGTGGTCTGTGTATCAAATATGTGGCTTATATTTACTTATATTTTATATTACTAAAAATGCACGTAAATTTAGCTTTATCTGTATATTAAAATAACTTTGTTTTTGCAGGAAAGACGATAAGGACTATGCTTTAAAACAAATAGAAGGAACTGGGATCTCTATGTCGGCATGTAGAGAAATAGCAGTAAGTGAAGCCCTTTTTATAATCATTATTATCATTTGACTCATGAATGTCAACTATGTGGTCTCTGAATTGTATTTGTCACATATACATGTTAATTGAAAGTTGGTAAATATTTTTCATATTGACCATTTGTAGAAAAATATATTTCTTTCCTAAGAGAAGTAAAGGTGGCATGTAGTTCTAGCAAAAATGTCTGCATAAATTCATTTATTTGGGAGTAAGTCAGTCTTATTTGTTTATATAAATATATATTTTTCTGGTAAATGTCACTAAATATTAAGGGTCCAGTTATTATTTCATTGGGTGCAATAAAAGTAAGTTTGTAGAAACCTATATGTTCATTAAAACTAGTATTTCTATTTTAATGAGATTGATGTCATTACATGAACTTAAAATGAGATCGTGTTACTTGATTTTCATTGTATCTGTTCATTTGAATATGTTAAAAATATGCGCTGTTTTCTTTTGGAAACTTAGCTTTCCATATGGCATTAGAATCTCATTTTAATCCCAAAGGAAAATATTCATCTTAATGCACTGTTAAATAATTATTCACAGATTTAAACTGAGTTTTACTTTCATGAGATTTTACTTCAGTTTTTACTATTGTGGCACTGTGGGTCCAAATTTATCTTTTCTGGCTATAATGAGAATATTATAGAATATATATTATAATCTTGTTGCTCTTAGCCCTTGTATCTATCCACAGATAATAGGCTATTGTGAGCTAGATATATTAACTTAGATAATTTTACTCATTTAATAGATTTATACCACTGGGTTTTCATTCATTTGTTGTATGCCATGTTGACAGGAACTAGAGTAGGTAAAAGTAAAGAAACGGAACAGTCAGGGTCCCTGGCCTTGAGTATTTACATGCTGATGAGGAAAGACACTCATATATCTTATAATAATGGTATACCAAGCACAGTGATAGAACTGTATGGAGAATGGGAAAAGGATCTACATCTAACTGAGAAAATCAAGGAAGGTTCCAGGAAGACATGTAAGAATTACCTCCACGAGGGAAGAGTAGAGGTGAGGTGGAGGGTATGCCATGCTGGAAATTACCTTTCATGTAATTGATAGATTTTTAATGCTCTTGAATCTAGAGGAAGGATATCTGTACATTAACTATCAGTTCTTCCAGCATCTACAGTTCTGTATATTCTAGTTAGTTTTAAAGAATTAAAATCCATTGAACTGTGGTCAGTGATGTTAGATGTCATGATAGAGATTATCTTTGGAGGGGTCAGGGAGTGACGGAAAGTGGAGACAAGGGAACTTTCAGGATTCTAGTAATGTGCTGTTTCTTGTTCTTGTTCTGGGTCTGGTTATGTGGGTTTAGTATGTGAGAACTCACCGAGCTGTGCACTTAACGGGTTTGTGTGCTCTTTCTCTGTGTTTATTAAACTTCAGCAAAATGTTTTGAAAACAACTCATTTTAGGAACAGACATTCTTCATGTGTATGTTGATAACTGTAAACGAAGTTAAGCACGGAAAGAAATATGAACACTTATTTTTAACGTATATGATTATGGTTCTTCAACCTAAAGTGAGCACAAATTTTTATTTTTGATGAAATTTACTATTTTTTCCTTTTCGTGACCATTGTTTTCTGTGCCTGACTGAAGAAATCTTTACCCACGGATTGTGAAGATATTTTCCTGTGTTTCCTTCTAAAAGCTGTATAGTTTTGGTTGTACGCTTTAGTTTGGGTTCTGTTTGATTCATTTTTGTTTGTATACATGTGATGTAAGGTTTGAGCTTCTCCCCTCCCCTTGTAAAAACTTAAATGACTATGTAAGTGTGAACTGTTCTGGGCTCTGTTCCGTTCTTACTGATCTCTTTGTCCGCCCTTATGCCATTATGAGGTCACTCTAGCTTTACAGCAAGATTTGAAGTAAGATTGTATAAGGCCACCAGCTTTAGTCCTCTGTTTCAGGATTGTTTGGGCTATTTTAGGTCCTTTTCAGTATCATATGAATGTTTGAATCAGCTCATTTTTATTTCTAAAATATGCATGTTGGGATTATGGTTTGGATCAATTCGGGGAAAACTAATATCTTAATAATATTGCATTCGGTCCATGAAACTCAAAAGATAAACTTTCTATTTTTTAATATTTTCTTTAATTTTTCTCAATAGTGTTTTGTAGTTTTTAGTTGTAGAGAAAACGCACACCTTCTGTTAAATTCATTCCTAAGGACTTCATGTTTTCTGGTACTCTTGTAAATGGATTGCTTTAAAAATTTTTACTTCCCATTTGTTTGCTTCTATACTTCGAATTTTTTTCATATTGTTATTTTCGTATCCATTTTATATCTAAATTCACTGGTAGGTTTTGGTGATATATGCAGAGAAATGATTATGTCATCTATGATTTGGAATAGTTTTACCTCTTTTCATCTTTGTATTTTTTTTCTTATTGCACTGACCTGGCTTCCATATAATGTTGAAGAGTAATGAGGACGGACATCTTTGACTTGCTCCCAGTCTTGGGGAAAGTGTTTTCAGTGTTTCACTATTAGATAAAATGCCAGCTGTAGGTTCTTATAGATGCTGTCAGTCAGACTTAGGAAGCTCTTTCTAGTTTTTTCATAAGTGGTATTGAATTTTATCAGATGCTTTTTTCCTGCGTGTACTGAAATGACCCTATAGTTCTCTTTTATTCTGTTTCATTGGTAGACCACGTTGATTTTTAATGTTTGTCCAATTTTGCATTCTTGAAATAATCCCTGCTTGGTTGTTTATTGCTAGATTTGATTTACTAGTGTGTTGTTAAGGAGTTTTAACTGTATGAGTTTGAAGGATGTTGTTCTATAATTATCTTTTCTGTAATGTCTTTGTCTTTGGTATCAAGACTATGCTGCCCTCGTGAAACACGTTATGCAGCATTTCTTCATCCCCTGTATTCTCAGTTTCTGTAAGATTGGTAGTTTTTCTTCTATAAATATTTGATAGAATTCACAAACTAATATGATATCCTTAATAGCACCTAGTATTTGATATTTTGTATTTTTTATGTAGTTTGTCTATTTCACGCAAGTTGTTGATTTATCAGCACCAAGTTGTTCATATTATTCCCGTATCTTTTCATATCTGTAGCTTCTGTAGTGATGTCCTGTTTCATTGGAGGTTGGTAATTTGTATTTTCTCTCTATATTATCGATCTCTACTCTTTATTATTTTTTTTCCTTCTACTTTTGGCTTACATTTCTTTTTTATCTTCTTAAGGTGGAACCTTAGGTCATTGATTTTTAAATGGTTCTTTTCAATAAGCAATTAAAACTATAAATTTCCCTTTAAGCTGTATTCTACTTGCATTCCATAAGTTTTGTTACATTGTATTTTCATTATCATTTAGTACAGAATGTTTTCAATTTTCTTTGTGATTCTTTTCTTTTATTCATGGATTATTTAGAAATATATTGTTTAATTTTTTAAACATGTGTGGAACAGAATAGAAAACCCAGAAATGAACCCACAAGTGTGTCAGTTAATCTTTGACAAAGGAGAAATGAATTTATAATGGGAAAAAAGACAATCTCTTCAACACACGGTATTGGGGAAACTGGACAGCTATATGCAAAAGAATGAAACTGGACTACTTTCTTAAACAGTACACAAAAATAAGCTCAAAATGGATTA